GGAACATTCAAGCCGCTCTCTGGTGCAACACCTGCTTGAAGCAAGGTGTTGGGGACAGAGATATTATTGATTGTTAGCAATGATACGGTTTAATAATAATGCTGGTTGAAAATATGAGGAACAAATTCCACTGACACTATTGTCCCTTTTGGGAGGGGAAGGGGCCAAAAATATCAATCTTTTCCAAATGCTGGCACCAGCACTATTTGCTCATTATAATTTTTGTTGCCCTGCAAGACTTGAACTCATGGGGCTAGAGCCACAGAAGCCTTTACGCTCCTAACTGCTGCTTTTGGCACCTACGTTCAAAATGTAGCCCCTCAACCCCCTGCTCGGTTGCTGCCTAACCCTGGAGGCACCCAAAGTTCCCGAGCACCTAAGTTTCCCCTGCTAAAGTCTCTGCCCGTAGGCATATGCAAATCCATCGAAGTTCTGCCACTGCTGATGGAGATGGAGTGATTAGAGCACTCACCTGGGAGGTGGAAGACCCAAATGCAAATCCCCAGTCTGCCTAAGAGGGAAGCGAGTGCCCGAACCATGGGGCTGTCGGGCATTCTGGGGTGGGCTCACTCAATCTTTGTGTTGCAGCTGTTTCACTTTGTATAAAATACTTCAACAGTCATTGGGCCAAAGAACGAATGACTCTATAGCCATGAGGTTGGTTCATTCTCCCTGCAGCCCCAGGTTCCAGTTCCCTGCTCCAAGGGCTAGCTAAGTATTTTACACAACACGGAACAGTTTCGACAGGAGAGAGGTGTGACGTGTATGACCCCTTCCTGCAATATCCTCAGCACACCTTATTGAATTAAGTTTAAGTGTCTTTGGAGACCATTGTATTAAATGCAAAGGTTAAGTATTATTTGGGGCCTGGATGATCAAAGGGCTATATTGAACAATGTGTAGGGTGGCCAGACAGCAAGTGTGAAAAATTGGGACGGGGGTTGGGGGTAATAGGAGCCTATATAAGAAAAAGTCCCAAAAAGCGGGACTGTCCCTATAAAATCGGGACATCTGGGCACCCTAACAATGTGGCAGACAAGAATGGACTTTTGGGACAATAGGTATGACATGGATTTCCTGGGGAATCACTAGGAGGAGGAGAATGCAAAGTCCCCAGGTCCAGTTATCCAAAAACCCAGCCGTTTGAAGCTCTGCCCTGAGGAGAGGACCGTTGTCTGCTGATTACATGTTCCCAGATCAAAGGGCCAAGCTGGACACAGGAATGCGGGAACTATTCATGGCTGTTCTGGTTCTGAGCTAAGGTGGTTATGAATGTGTAACCACACAAAAAAAACCCTTGGTGGGTTTGGCTGGACTGGCACCTACCAGAGCCCTTGTTGGCATTGGGGTAGTGATCGTTAATAAAGAACCTACATGCATGCTAATAAACTGAATTGTTTTTAATGTTTTCTTTGTAATGCTTTTACCTTAAGAATAAATGTGCTTGTTTAGAAAGAGCTGTGGGGTAACTTGTAACTGCTGGCCATTACAGCTGCTCATGGGCTTCGAAGCGAATGGAAAGTGTAGATGTTGGCCTGGTGATGCAGTCTGGCTTGCTGGGGATATCACAGGTTAGATAGGGAACTGTGCAGCCTGGAAAAATCCCAGTCAGGAGGGCTATAGTCAGGGATGTGGTCTCTGCCCAAGAGAGGTGATGACTAAGGAGCTGGAAGCCTACAGTGGGTGCCCTTGGTGGACTATGATGGGGAAATAGAGGTGGTGTTGCCCTGAAGTGGGACAACCCCCACCCCAGAATACCTATAGCCTGGTGGTTAGGGCACTCACCTGGGGTCAGGTCCCTGCTCTGGATCAGACAGAGTGGGGACTGAAGCAGGGTTTCCCACACCCTGGCTCAGTGTTCTAACCAGTGGACTGTAGGGTAAGAGGGGGCCCGCTCCTTTCCCTCACATGTTCATGAGAAAGGACTGACCTGCTTTAAGCACCTACTGCAGGAGAGGGTTCCTGGCTCTGAATCCTGAGTGGAGGGAGGCACCTAGCCACCTTTGACGGGCAGGGCTTAGGCCTCCCCCCATTGGCTATCTTAGGTGGCTCCCTGATCAGCGTGTTGGCTTCTGGCTCCCATTGTTAGGCTCCTGACTCTCCATCTGCATTGTCTAGGGAGCCTGGGGACTGAGGACTCCAGTGGGCAGCAGGGCACCTAAAGTTAGGCATTGCAACGCTGAGCCTAAGTCCCCTTTGAGGATCTGGCCCATGGTAACTGAAGCATCTGGATTTTCAGGTGGAGGATGAAAAATGAAGGCCTCCTATACGTGTTTTACAGTCCCCAGGCATTATTAGCATGAGCGTTGTTTTTCTTTTCTGTACAATATGTGGCATACAAGAGTCTGACCCAACTCCCTTTGCTGTCAGATAGGAGTCTCTCCATTGCCTCCAAGAGCACATGGCTCAGGCCCACAAAGAACGGCTCCTACATTAACACTCATGTGGGCTGATTTGCCTGATGGAACAATCCCAAGCATACAACGAAGTGTAAGAAGGGCATTTTGATTGGGCATTAGGCCTCTTCCTTTTGTTTCCAGCTCCACTGAATTACAGCCATAGGTACTTGATCCTTCTACTGATTTAGGCCCCAATTCAGTCGAGCACCTGTGCACCTGCTTTTGCTTCGGTGCTTTTGCTATTAGGCTTCTAGTGGAAAATAGCAAATGCCAATGGATTTGTGTCCTGACATGCCTCAGGTCTGACCATTCACAGGTTCTCTGTTCTCACTGCTGCAAAAAACAACATGCCGGGAACCGCGAGGCACCTTACAAGAGCTTTGCGAGCCAGGGCAGCTGCATGTGCAGCGAGAACGATGACGTGAGAGCAAGCCAATCTGTGTATTATTCATGCTGTAAACCGAAGTACTACAAAACCAGCCCGTGAAATTTAGCCTGAACAGATTTACATTTTGATGACAACTAAACTTGAGTAAATACCAAAGAAGCTGTAGAATGATTGCTGACTGGTGTTTTCTGTGCAGGTTAAGGGTTCATTGTCAATCCAGAAGGAAGTATACATTTCTCCCTGGAGGAGGTCATGCTCCTGAACACTCTTTCCTTTGTGGGATCCTCCTATTTCATGATGGAACGTATTGCTGCTCTTTTATCATGGCACAGGAACCGATTTCTCAATCTAGAGCAACCAGAATCATAGTGAGGGTCGGTGGGTCCTGCAAAATCTTTGTGTATCCAGAGAACTTGCCCCACAAATGACTATTTGGGGCTCCCAAGTTTTGCTTTATCAACAGCAAGCAGCACTGCTGTAAATAAATATATGGAGATCTACCTATCTCCTAGAACTGGAAGGGACCCCAAAGGTCATTGAGTCCAGCCCTCTGCCTTCACTAGCAGGACCAAGTACTGATGTTGCCCCAGATCCATAAGTGGTCCCCTCAAGGATTGAACTCACAACCCTGGGTTTAGCAAGCCAATGCTCAAACCACTGAGCTATCCCTGTAGTGTGATAGGAGAAGAGCCACAGGGCAGAGAGAGAAGAGAACAGGGAAGAAGAAGGATTTCTTGCCTGTGCTATAGATAATCAATGCCCTCCCAAGTGTCTGGCTCCAAGACATAAGCAGCTCTGAATATCTGGGTGATTGCTATCTAACCAGGTTCTGGAGCCTCTAAGTTCTCCCCCTACACTGCACAGCGCATACTGCTTCCCAGTGTATTCAGTGCTTTAGCCATGGCCCCTCTTCTCTCTGGGGCAAACTCACCAGTGATGCAAGAGGTGCTTTAGAAATATTTACTAGGACATACATTAAACACCGGTAGGGGTGGAGTCTCAGATCATATGGATGGTGAGGCCTCCCACCTTTGTTGAAAGAGCAGGACATGTCTGGGGAGGGGAGGATTCAATCTTTAAGCAAGATGCCCTTTTCCCAAAAGGTTTGGCATGAGAGAAGCAATAATAAAACCAAAACCAAAATGAAGCATTTCGTACGGTCAGACAAAAATCATTTCCCCTCCCCATTGCTCATCTTTCAGCCTCTGGAGCTGTCATCGTTTCACTGGTTAAGAGTCAGGCAGGGTTATTGTTAGGATGAAGAAAGAGTTCTCCTGCCCCTATAGTCTAGCCAGGATGGACAAAGACCCGAATTTCTAATGTAAAAAGCATCAGGAAAAAAATCAATATTAAAAAAAACACTGAACTTCCTTTTCCAGATCTTCTTTGTATGGCATCAAGAATGAAAAACTCAGACATGAGTCCATTTTTCTTTTTGCTCCTTTAAAGGTCTCTTTTAAAATTGTGATGTCACTATATACGAGTACTATATACTATTTTTACAACATTGTGGAGGTTTCTAAAATCTGTTTGCTCGAATTTCTTCTCCCTGGGACACAGACTTTTCAGGAGTACTTGTGGCACCTTAGAGACTAACAAATTTATTTGAGCATAAGCTTTCGTGGGCTACAGCCCACTTCTTCGGAT